TGAAAATTCGAAATTCCAAAAAAAAAATCGAGGAGGTATTCACTGGAATTGAAAAATTCAAAATTTTTAAAAAAGTATCAGGGGAACATGAAAATCGAGGAGGTATTCATTGAAATTGAAAAATTTTAAATTTTCAGAAAATAAAATTCACCTAATCAACTGGTCCCTCTGACAGCGAGACTGCTACTGAGGCAGTTACCGAGTCGGCTGACGGGTAGACACCCCACCATTGGGTGCGGCCCCCTCTTTCTCTTGGGGTGAGGTGCGCACCCAGAACTGAGCCGCTCAGTGGGGGTTTGAGCGACCCCATTGGCATTACACCCCACCTCACCCCATGAGAAAGAGGGGGCCGCACCCAATGGTGGGGTGTCTGCCCGTCAGCCGACTCGGTAACTGCCTCAGTAGCAGTCTCGCTGTCAGAGGGACCAGTTGACAGGGTTACGAAATTGGTTTTTGTTTTTTATCGTAATGCAGAAAACAAAATTTCGAATTTTCAAATTTAAGCGAATACCTCCTCCATTTTTATGCTCCTCTGATACTTTTTTGAAAATTTTGCATTTTTCAATTTCAGTGAATACCAATTTCGTAACACATAAAATGAAATTCACCCCGTTGACTGGTCCCTCTGACAGTGGGATTGCTACTGAGGCAGTTACCGAGTCGGTTGACGGGATGACACCCCCATTGCGTGTGTCGCCCTCCCTCTCTTGGGGTGCACTACTACGATGCCGCTGGGGTCACTCAAACCCCCAGAACTGAGCTTCTACTTCAGTCAATCCTCTTTGGGGAGCATTGAGGCCCCAGCGGCCCCAGTGATCTACAAGTAATTCACTAGGCTTTAAAAATTCCCCACTGTTGTGAATATAGTACTTGCAGTCCCCAGCAGTAGCCAGCACCGACAAACGACAATTCGACAAATGGCCGCGATCGCCGCTATGAAGACAAGAGCGTAATGCCGTAATTCCCTTTCCCTGCAGGCGAGGTGTTACAATTTGGTGTTTCACTATTTTATGTTTATGTAATTATTAATTGATAATCTCAAGTGTATGGTATCTGTCAGAAAAATTGATTAATTAAGTATTGTGTACATATACGGAATAGTGAATAGTTGATTGAGCGCGATGAAATTCATAGCATTGATGGTAGTGATTTGATGGTTAGGTAGGAGTGTGTGTGGCATCCATTAACGTTGAGATCGTTTGGTATCCGGCTATCATCAAATTTCTTGGATTAATCGAAGCATAATATAAATACAGAGGATTTACTGTAAATACTTATATTGGGACTTATATTGACTAGTGACTGAGTGATTTTTTTGGTGAACCTTTTTGTTGATTGTTAGCCCATATCCAGGATAAATTTGCTGACAATGTCTTATCCTGGACAACCACCTATGGGTATACCTGGGATGCCACCGCTGCCGTACATGGTTGGAGCTCCTCCGCCGATTATTGGCGGAGTTATGCCAATGCCACATGTGAGTATATTAAGATAGCAATAAAAACATAATCGGTAGTACATGGTAGCGTATGGTCGGCGTTTTTAACTGGCACTAAGAAATGAACTCCTCTAGCAGATGATACCGACACCAGTGTCTGCAATGCAGACATCTGCACCAGCAGTGAGATACTCACGAAATCAAACGAGACATGATCCCACGAGACGACGAGAACGCGAGACAGGGCCCCCAGTTACAGTTTTCGTTGGTAACATCATGGATCGTGCTCCTGACGTTATGATTAGACATATTCTGGGTGCTTGCGGCCACGTGCTATCTTGGAAACGTGTGCAGGCCTTTGGATTCTGCGAATATGCTGGGCCGGATGCCGGATTACGAGCAATTCGGCTCTTGCACGACATGGAAATTGGCAATAAGAAATTGGTAGTTAAAGTGGATGCTAAGGCTAAAGTAGCTTTGGATCAGTTTAAAGGTGAATAATTAAAGGCAATCATCATGAAAAGCGCAGTAATTTTCTCCGCTACTCGGCACTAATAATTTATTGGGATGAAATATAGCTGAGCGACGAAAGAAGCTGAAAGGTGGGCAATCACCCTTGCAGGACGAGACTCCGACTGAATCGGGTGACGGGGATGATGCTGATGACTACATGGATGAGGGAATGCGTGTCGTGGACAGTGATGCACTCACCCGAATTTCTCAGATCCTCTCGGAACACTCGACCGAGTTGGAACTTGCTCAAAATGCTCCTGGTAAGTTATTAACCATCTTCCCTTTACCAAATAAATAATTAAAATTTATTGATATTTAATCTCTGATAATTTTCTCATCGTTCATCCACAGATGCTAGGAAAGCCACTACCGAGGAACATCAGGCGAAATTGGCAGCAAAGACATTGAATCTCGACGATGCGGAAATTGAGGAAAGTAAACGAGATTTAATAACACGGGAAATTGGAAAGTTCAGGGAAGTCATGAAGGTAATTAGAATTTTCAATAGCCACATTATTTCTCAAACATAATCAACACATGTCATGTTCTATTCAGCATAAAATTTATGTTTTTCTTATCGTTTCTTTCATTTATTAATCTCGATTAGTGGATCAATATATTCAATTGATAATTGATCCTAAGGACGAGAGAAACATAGAGATAATTATTCCAAATGCTGATTGACAATAAGTTACTGACTGACATGCAGTACAGTGTAAAAGAGATAATGAAGAATGATATGAGTAGATAAAAATATTAAGAACATATGGATGATAGGGTTGAGGTATGCGTGTGTGATATTGCTAGAATTGAACGAATTAGAGCCGTGACTGGTTGCTGTAATTATAATAACAGGCCGCGCACAAGTGAAAATACAAGCGCTAGGAAATGGCTGTGTGTGAGTGGGGTGCCCGACCAATTCACCCACTATTCGTTGGCTCTGAAGGGAGTCAATCACAGCCACAACCCTCGGTTATTTCTCAGGGCGGCAGGCAGCCTCGTTGGTAAGTCAGAGATTATCCACCAAGAACAAAAAACAAAACCCAAATGTCAATCATTATTAGAAGCGGAGTAACTAACACGAGGCAATACGTATTTTCATGGTCATTTCCCTCCATTTCCTAAAAATTACGTTTTTTTTTCCTTTTTTTTTCACTCAAAATAAATTAATTAATCTCAGACCATTGAACGATAAAGACATGATTCCTATATAATCCATCGTTTAAGGATGTAATGTGCGTCATATTCCAAAATAAAATCATCCTACAAACTCAGTAAATTTCTTAAACGGGTAGTTTTTTTCTTCAGTAGACAGTATCGTAAAATTTCATGAGAGAGTTGTCTCTAGCGTTAAAAAGAATTCCGTACATTGATTACAGATTTTCGCATTACATCCTTGAGGATATCCAAGTATTTTGGCCATTCTTGTTTTTTTTTTTTTTCGTTGAGGCAGCTTAACGCGCGCTAATAATTCTGAATTTAAATATGAGCGCGTCCCGGACAGTGAAAGGTACTTGGATATCTTTAATTAGGAAAATTGAACATATAAAAGAGGAATTAGTGCTGGAAAGCCTGCATTTGTCATTGATAATTATTGAATAATTCGTAATGGGGCTGAACGGAATAGCCAAAATAAAACGGTGAAAAACGAGAAAAAAAAAATTTGATATTCAACAGTTTGTGGTGAAACTCAACTGCCGCGATTAAGACCCAACGGTCTACCTCAACACAATGGGATAACATTCGACACATATGCGAGAATGATGATATTGGTGCTCCACAGAGTGATGCTTCGTCGCTTCAAATTTTGGTATATTCAAATAATTCATTATATTTCATAAAGTATTGAAAGTCACCGTTGTTCTATTTTATTTGCCATAGTTACAATAGAATTATGAAAATAAGAAAATATTAGACGTACGATAGGAGTAAGAAAATTTCACTATTCATGGAGACGTCCATCAATGTTGTGAGTACATTGAGAGGCCCTTGCTCATTAATGCGCAATTCATGAACGTTACTAGTCATTAAGTATCAAATTGTGTTTAAAAAGGAAAAACAAACGAATATTTGTACCTTCACCTAGGTACGAGAAACGAGCGGGGGCTTGGCCATATCGCCAGTGGAGTGAGTATACATCGAATGAAAAAAAGGAAAAAAAAAAATATTTACTAAAAATTTGCTAAACTGTACAGCAATTTACATATTTGTTCATATGAATTTTACAAGGAACTATATTTTCTCGTTTTTCAAGGGATATGATTCAATGAGCAATATTAGACATTCACTTAATGGTTTTTCGTGATGTTGTATTTTTTAGAAACAAGAGGAGGAAAAGGCCCAAGTTAAAAGAAAGAAAGAGGCTGTGGAGAAGGAGGAACGGGAGAAGCGGGAGAAGAAGAGGAGAGATCGACGGGATGATGATATTGGAATGAAGGAGGATCAGGAGGTGGATTTGGGCAGTCCTCTGTCACATAAAGGGCATCCTGATAGGAGGGATAAGCGTCGATCCAAATCGAGGTGAACTATAAGAATATTGCAAGGTGTTAAGAAAACAAGTAGTTCGCGATTATTATAATAATTTATAATGGCAAATAGGTCAAAAGAACGGGAGAGGGAGCGTGAGCGGATTAGAGATCGTATGAGAAGGGATAGACGAGAGGATGAGATGACTAATAAAGAGGATCAGGAGGTTGATCTGGGTAGTCCGATGTCACACAAGGGTCATGTGGATAGGCGTGACAAGCGTCGCTCAAAATCACGGTAAATGACGATTGCGTGATAGAGGTAAGGCAAGGCTCATTGATAACACATGTAAAATATTGCAGATCAAAAGAGCGGGATCGCATGAGCGAGCGAATGAACGAGCGCATAAGAGACAGAAATCGCGAGCGGGAGCGTGAGCGTGAGCGTGAGCGTGAACGTGAGCGGGAAGAGGTACGTAAAAGTGAACGAGAAATAATGCGTGAGCGTGAGGAAGAGGAGGAGGCAAAGGAGCGAAAGAAAAATGAGAGGCGAGCCCGTGAAAAAGAAGCGGCTTATCAAGAGCGTTTACGCGCTTGGGAGACTCGTGAGCGTCGTAAACAGAAGGAATATGAAAAGGAATCAGAGAAAAAACGCGGAAAGCGAGAGGCGCGTGAGAAAGAGGCAAAACGTTTGAAAGAATTTCTCGAGGACTACGACGACGATCGAGACGACGCCAAGTACTATAAGGGGAAGGAATTAGCGAGACGTCTGGAGGAACGCGCGTTAGAGGCTGAGGCGGACTCACGAGACAGATGCGCCGAGCGTCAGGAATTACAACGACTAAGAGACAAACTTTATGCTGACGCATCACATCCAGATCCAGCGGCTGAATTTGAACGATTGAAAGCAGAGCGAGAAGAACAGTACAAACCGAAGCCAGTGATAACGATAATTGACGAGGAGGATGATAAGATTGATGAGCGAAAGGCAATGGCCATTGAGAAGGAGAAGGAGGTGGAGCGAATGCCACCGATTGAGACAGAGCCAATTGATAGTGATAGTGAGGATGGAGTTGAATTTGAGGATCCACCGCAGGAGCCGTCGAGAACACCACCGAGGCATCACTATCGCCATCGCAGGCACCATCGCCAGCAAAGCTATCATCGGGATTTCAATCAGGTTGATGGAATTATGGAGACTGACAAGGACCTTCACAATCCCAATCATAAACGTAATTCGGTTACCTCTTTGTCTAATGCTGGTGGTAGTGTTGGCTCTATTACATCACCGGCTCCAATAACACCGTCGCAGATGACTGGCGTACCAAGCCAGGACGATGACTCTCGTATGTCGTTGGTCAGTGAGCCTGAGAAAATGAACAGTGCTAGTAATTTTGTCCCCTTCGCCATGGCAGCTAATCGCAGCGGTGATCATGCCATTGGCAATAAAACACCCGCAAGTCCTGGAGCCAATAATCAACAGATTAATCAGGGACAAGCAAGGAAGAAAACACGCATGGATGTTAAGGATGTTTTTAATAATGATGATGAAGATGATGGTACTAGTAATTCCAAGAAACGAAAACTTGTGCCCCTTGATTATGGCGATGACAAAAAGAAAAAGAGCATGGAGGACATGAATGTCGCTAAGGGGGGTAAGGAGGAGAGCACCAAGAGTCAGGAGGAGAAGAGAAAACATATTAAATCGCTCATTGATAAAATTCCAACTGATAAAAATGCACTATTTGCTTATCAACTCGACTGGGCTGTCATTGACAATGCACTTATGGAGAAGAGGATACGACCTTGGATAAATAAAAAAATAATTGAATACATTGGGGAGCCTGAACCAACACTTGTCGATTTCATCTGTAGTAAAGTTATGGCTGGGAGCTCACCTCAGGGCATTCTCGATGATGTACAAATGGTAGGTGTTCAAAAAAAAAAAACACATGATTTTCGTCCATTATTGATTTACATAAAAGTACTCACATCCTCGTCTTCTTCTTTATTGCAGGTTCTCGATGAAGAGGCTGAAGTGTTTGTTGTGAAAATGTGGAGGTTATTAATATACGAAGTGGAGGCCAAAAAAATGGGACTAGTTAAATAAAATCAACTAGAATTTTCATTGTCAATGTGAAAACTAAAAATTCATTGCAATTCACTCCCAATTTATACTATCAATATAATTTCTTGTACCATGTAAACGATTACTAGATATTACTTTGAAAAATCCAGGAAATCAACGAGAAAATACATTTTATGTGTACACAAATGAGCCTATCTGATGATGGAAAAAATCAACCATAAATATACGATCAACATTTTTCTTTGAAGAGAGAGGAGAATTCTTGTCCGAAAAAAAACGGATTGTTCAAAATGCTTGTTTTCATTAAATTTGAAAAAATCCATTTTTCAAAAAAGTTGTGCCAATAAAAATGATGAATTATTTTCACCAGAGTAAGACAGAGATAGGGTTTGTTGGTGATGTCAATCGTATTCGCTTCGAAGTAAAACTAACTGCAATAGATATAACTTCCAACGATTGTCGAGCATCTATTAAACACTTGAGAAAGCTTTTATACACTTACAAAGTAATAATAGTACCTGCTGGTGCAAGCTCTATTTTCCGGATAAAAAAAGGACAAGAGGAAGGGAGGCGCTGTACATATATATATAATATAATGGGCATGCAAAAATAATCGACAACCGAGTTCGAGTCACATGTACGAGAACATAAAAAGGAAGACAGCAGATAGTGATGGGAGATTGAATGAACGAAAATAAAATGGATAGCTTCACTGGGAATATTTTGTCCCATACAGATGATGCAAACGAAGGAGGTAAGAATAGAGGCCGTCCTCTAATTTATTTATCCTCTTTCATAGAATTTGTGCGCGTTAGCATTATGTAGAAATTTCTGTGGTGAGGGATGGGATAAGAGTAACCTGAGAAACTTGCATAAATGAGCACAGAGGCTTACTATTCGTCTGTCTCTCATGCACTATAAGGGCGATGTGAAAATCGTATTTCCAAGTTCGATGGCTGGGAGAATGCACCAGCGACTTGATATCCTACTGTTCTTGCATGACAATGAAGCCACCGGAACATTCATATCTCCTCCCATACTCTCGGTGTCTCCTCTTTTCCTCCTATTTTTGCATCCCCCGAATTCTTTTATTTCATTTTTTCTCTATTTACTCGCTTGTGTAGTGAATAATGGATGGGCAGATGAAAATTCGTAACAAGTAAATAATTGTTATATATCATTCCATGTAGTCAGTTCCAGTTACTGAATTACAAAGTGATACGCAAAAGAAAAATATTTTGTCTCCATAATCTCTCCCTCGGAAAGTAATATTTCTTCTCTCGTCATCTGAAAGAAGCTTAGAGTACATTTTATGGAGTGCATATATACATCAGAATGTGCACGTGTTTTTCCCAGTTTTTTTTTTTCACTAAAATCTCTGTCATTTTCTATTTCATATATTTGCCATAGCGAAGGGTTTCTCACTGATGAAAAAGCCTGCAAGTGCTTCCGCGTTCACCAGAAATATCCACTGTCTTTCTTCATCTATGGGTGTCTTTCAAGTCCTTGGAAAATCGATTATATCTAATTTCTCGTGTGTATTAGTGAGCAGGAACTCCTACTCCAGGCCTACCTCTCAAAAAATTTGAGAGAGAGTGCAACTTTCAATTGAAAATTTTTTTTTTTATCATTGGAAAATAGAAATACACAGAAAGACACTGAACCGATATGAATGGTATAGTATTTAGTAGGAATACCTTCAATGGAATCCCAGTTGAAATGGTGGTGTTTCATCTTGGCGAAACATAACCAGAAACAATAGCTGAATATGCTTATTATGCACCACGAAAATACAACGAGTAGTCGTAGTTGTGGCATAACACGAAGATGAAGAAGCAATTATTCTAATGGGGGAGAGAGACGGGGACTGAGGGTTGAGGGCTTGCTCGAGTCAGCGAGAGGCGAGGGGCAAAATTGAAACGAGCAAGACAAGTGTGGTAATCCATGAATAATACGCCCTCCCATTTTCCATTTCTCATGCATTTACCGGTGTGTTATTTGCACCTGTTAATATTATGCTAAACTCGGGTAATCCCTTAAATGCCGCATATTTTGTGGGATAGCGGGGCGAGAGAGCGTCAAGGAATTTGAATAAAGAGCCTTACCTTGTTTCGTCAATGACTTAATCCCTTTTTCGATAATTGAGACTTCGAATGTCTCTTTATGATTAGTCTAGAACAAAAAAAAAAACATCGTGTGAAAGCGGAGTATGAGGTTTTTGTGAAAATGTTAAGGCAATAGTAAGTCGAGTTTGGAGAAAGAAAAGGTGAGAGAAAAGAAAAAAATGGAGTAGAGAAAGTAATGACAATGAGGAGAAAATGGCGATGGTATACATACAGGACTGTTGGATTTTTTTTTTTTTTAGGGAATTGAAGAGACGAGCTCTGCTTCTCTCTGTTGGTGGATCGCATCAGAGCGCACATTGCGCGGTTGGTGCCTCCAGGGCTGACGATGCACTTAGCAATATTAGTAAAGTCTGTATAGTACCCTAGCTCGTGACCACCGCCAACCATTTCACCTTTCTACCATTTTTCCACTGTGTGGTGCCCATGGTGTGGTGCCTATGTACACTTTTCTCTGGACGCATGCTTTCAGGATTTTCCAACTTCTTTTATTCTCCACGTGGGGGTGAACCGTTACTCGGCTATAAGTGACAATCAGAGTACATTTTGAGAGTTTTATCTCACTGAAAAAAGCGAAATCGATTTTGCCCAGAAAAAATTGAGATTTCTTAGTTAATCGATAGAATAATTTTTCACGTTTCTCCTGCTGTGCTCTGCTGGGCTCGGCTGTCCAGTTCTCTGTTCCTTTCGTTGAAATAATCGCTGCAGCTCCCACCGCGGGAATGAGATTTCATCCAAGATTCACTGAGTCCCCTCACGGTTACCATGCATTGAGGTGTGATGTCTGATGAGGCATTTTTCACCCTCCATCATCAAGTTTTCTGTCAATCACGGACATTTGCTTTTGACCACCCCCACCATCGAGTTTTCCGCCAATCAGGGAGGTTTGCCTCATGTTTAGATAAAGGCCCTGTATTACTGGAGATATTTCAGTCTTCGGAAACTTCGAGATGTGCAAATTGAGATGTGCGAAAATCGGGAATTCCAGTGGAGGATAATAACTTCGGCGTTTTCTGATGGCGATATCCTCAGTACGATTCGGTAAAATTGAATTTCTCAGTAATCAGGCAGATGGCATCGTCTCGAAAACAAAAATGTGTTCACGATGAAAAACCTCAAATGTAATCAAGTAGCCCCTTTGAATGTGAAGATATTTTGAATCAGTGAATAGGCTTTCTGTGAACAGTTTGAAACTACGGAACAAATGGATGCAGTGGTTACTAGTTAAAGGGTCACTGCTGAATGGAGCCAAGGCCTAGCAATCACATTTGACACTTGATACGGCTATAAAGTTTCTCAAGCCAACCGAGAATGCAATTAGAATAATGAGGTTCCAGCTCTCAGAATAACACGACGCTTGTCATTATGGTTATTTTGAATGAGAAATTATTTAAGAAGATATGACAAATTACACAGCGAGGACAAACAACTCAACTTGAATGGCAATTGAATTCAACGATGGAGGTGGAATTATGAGGTACTGAAAATAAGAAATCAATTTTATATCATCTCTAAGGTTTGAACATTTTTCATCCTTATTTTTCCTCATTTTCTTACGAAAATTGCGGCTCTCTTTGAAAGAGGCACGAGGGAAAACTGGAGACGAGAGGCAGATTCAGCTGCGTTTGTCATGCAAATTTTCACTGAGCTCAAAGAATAATTTCAAGGACCTTGGTGATAGGCAAAAAAAATGGGCTTTTTAATTATCTAGCTGAGCTTAGGTTTACAAATTCGAGAGTAACTTCACGTCTTGTACAGGGAAATACTACCTTGACCAGGCGAGCATGGATTTTTCCATTGCCCCCTCGACATTCACTGGACAGTCTAGTCGATAGATATCGAGCTTAGCTTTCTCACGTGGTCGTCAAAGTAAAAAAGGTAAAAAGTAAAGAAAAAAGGCAGGTTCAAGTATTGTTGCCAGGGTTTGACGAGTGGTCGATCACTCGTGATGTACGAGATGTCAGTTGAGTTGGGGATACATTCTATACGGTGGTCACAAACGATTTAACCGTCTCAGCCCTCGAGCTAGGGGGAAACAGTGATAGCCCGTGGAATAAAAAGAGGTGGCAAAGATTGAATTGCCCCTCGGGGACGTGCCGTTGAGAGTTTGCTTGTTTAAGAAAAAGGAAGCTGCACCGAATAAAATTGAGGGAGGGAAAAAAATTTGCTGAACGCAACCTCTACACCTCTTATTCTCCTCTAATCTAATAAAAATAAACACTATCAGAGGAATTGTGGGAATACTAGAAATAAAAAAAATTCAGGGTTGATTATATCTGAGGGTGGTATGTCGAACGTAACGGTTGGGAGAGGAGGGTTAAGTGGAGACAGGTTGATAGTGCCAGTGGTATATCGGTTTTATAGGGTGTGGGGAGTCAGAATAGTTTTACGAGCGCATCTGGGCTAGCTGACAACCTCACAAGTATAATACGAGAGCACATGTGGGCATATCAGTTGCCGTTGGGCTATGAAAATTAGTCGGGTGTTTTAATAGTCAATCACGGGGGGTCTATACATGATAATATCTCAGAAGAGTGATGGATACGAGAGTCTTGTCTATTAATTCAGAATAGAATGGAATTGACGATTATAAATAAAAAATAGTAATTTTGCTTGTGAATAAAAAAAAAAGATTAAATGCATAACCGGTAAGGAAAACGGGACGGGGTGTCGGGTAGAATCGATTGACAAGGCAAAGGCAGTTTGAGAAACTAGGAGGACATAAAGGAGATTGGACGAGGGTGGTTGAACGTTGAAGGACGCTTCAAGATGAAGCAGCCGTGTAAACCGTCAAAACCCCCACGGGTACCACCCTCCTATACACATAACCCATCTCTTTTACCCTCTGTATAACCAACTACCACCGCACTTCACCTCGTCTCACCTCTGCTTCACATTCATATATCTCTCTTGTCTTTCTCAGGCACAACACACCCAAAGATCTTTACACCCCTATTTATTTATATTTTCGTTAATCATTTTTATATTCTGAGACACACCAGGATGAATTCCTCCTCACGGCTTGGCATTCGATTCAAGAGTTGAAATTAGCGTTTACCACCAAAGATGATTATTTCCTGTATTTGTCTCATCCCAATTCCCACCCTCTCGTAACCATCATTATGAATTATAATAATGTCTCTATTGAAGCATTGTAAATTGGAGAGCAGCACTCAAATATCGCTGGGGGAGATAATGTAAATGGATGGATTATAATCCATTTCTATTTTGCCGGGATGACATCAGGCTCAACAATTGAGCCACTTGATAATTCACGAGCACTCAATATAAATAATGCCCCCCCACAGTAGGATCAAAGTAGCTTAGAGGAAACACTAGTGACAAATAGTGCAAAATTTAAACTTTCTACTTTTATACTGAAGGCATTTTTTATCGAATAAAATTGAAAGATGGTCAAGTTTTGAAAAGTTGGGTACAGATTCTTTCATCGAGATTCTCCAATGTCCGGTATGATTAAAGTTAGTAAAACTGATAAAATGGTGTGCTCGGCGATTTTGATCGATTGAAAAGAATGTTTATTAAATCAGGGAGATGGGTGATGTTAGCAAGTTGGTCGAATGCGTAACTTTGGATGAAAGTTTAGTTACTGTCTATTAGGTTTTGTGAGAGTTTGAGATGAGGGGTAGCAGTTGTCGTAGTAGGATTGGTAGGAGGTTGGCTCTGAATGGGTTGAAAGACTGGAGGGATATTGGTTGGGAAAGAGTGAGTGAGTGAGGGATGAAACGGGACGGGATGGGACGGGACGAGACGGGACACAGTTGGTGGAGGGCAACTTGTCCCTGGGAATTTAGCCCGGTTCGTCTTGTGCTTCCTCGTTCACGTTTTCCCCTGGTGGAGGTAGAGGCTCTTTTACTATGAGCGCGAGCCCGCGGAATTTCATTAGCATCGAACCATCCCACTGTCGAGGCTATATACCCAGACGTGTTTGTGAACTCGGCTTGTGTGAAACTCCCTCCTTGCCACTTCTTGCCAGTTCTTGCCAATTTCTTTTTCATTCCTTCTGTTCTTTTCATACCATATTATGTCATTGAAGTAATGTCATTTTGACGAATTGGAGGGATACATTTTTATACATCCTTTTATTCGGTGTGTTGAGGTTGTCATTCGACGTGTACTTGCAATTTGCTTTAATAAATAATAATTCTAAATACCATCATTTAGAATTTTAAACACAAAAAAAAACATCTGCACGTTGAACGTATTGAACTCTTTTTTTGGTATCTCTATCGGGACCATCTGGCTGATGCCAATTACTGACTTATTCGATATCGAAAACTCGGGAAAATCAAATTCCACAATAATTCATTTCGTTTCAACGTACCCAATATACCCGTATAACAAAAAAAAATGTTTAACAGCATTACATACTCATAATGCATGAGAGAGCATTAAAGCAGAGACATGGACAGTAGTGGTTGGTGAACCACCTAGTGCATCATGTAGCTGCATGGTATGCCGCGTTATTATATTATTCCCCTAATGTTATTTGTGCTATATACCGGTAATAATCAAGAGGACAAGCAAGCGTTTCACGATAAAGGGAGGGCTCCATGTCAATATATCATCAAAGTACCTGGAAAATGCCGAAGAACAAAGGGCGTGTTACAAACACACGGGCGTCACGAAAGCCCCGAGAGTCATTCGGGACAGCTATAATACGATGGAATATTCCTCTTGAGGCGTAAAGACCTTTGACATCCTCGTGATGAATTATAGATAACTAAGGTCATGCGGAATCCGTTATTAGACATTTAATCTATATTTCCTCGGTGTACTTAAAAAGTGTATGCAGCAAATATAGACAAATGTGCCACAAGAAAGACAGTATCAAATTCCATTGAATAATGAAATTGTCAAGAGTAATTGGAATTGACATTGGAATTATATATTTAGCTATTATTGTAGTAATCAGTGAATAATTGAATAACATGAGGAAATAGTTTCCGGAAATATCACTCGCGAAAATATATTTAAATGGCTTTACTAGTCTCTCCTACCTGCGGCCTTCGATTCTCTCTTCCCAATACAAATAATTAATTAATTAATTAATTTTCCAATAAATTATTGCATTGAAGGATGTGAAAATAGATGATGTAAATAATTTGATTTGATGGAGGTTATTTTCAAGTTGGTTAATTGTCAAATATTGTTGATTGAGAAATGATTTTTTTCTTTTGTAAAAAATGGGAGAACAAATGTTTGCGAATGCGATAGAAGAGAAAATAGGGGCAAATAAACGATCGGGGGAAAGGTCGTTTGTTTGACGCGTACAGGAGTTTATTGGTTCGACGGCGATTTCTCAAAGTTGGCTGGAGAGCATACCGCTCTCAACAATTTCTCCACTTCTCCTGGAAGGGTCAGGTCGATTGTCCATCTCACTTGAGACTTGTACTTCTTCCGCCTTGCGCCACCTCCCATTCAATTCTTATCGCCATAGCATCCTGGAGAATTCTCAGGAGAACTTCCCGATATTCATATTTGCTTGCTAGTACATCAAAAATTCCAAGCTCGCCTCTGCCTTTTCCTCCTTTCTTTCTATTCTTCCCCCTCTTAACCCTTACTATGATTTCTCGGCTGTACAGGATTTGCAGTGCCACTTACAATATATCAACGAGATCCCTTTCTCTCTCTCCTACTTTCTTTCTTACCTACCTACCCAGTTTCCTTCCTTCCTTCCTTCCTTCCTTCCTTCCTCCTCGACTTTCAGCGATATTCCTCAATTCTTCTTCCACTCTTCGCTTTCGCATTGCATATTCCCCCTTCATAAAGCTCACTACAATCGATGCCGAGAAGCATACGCTTAAGAACTGATGAAAGCACTAAGTCACTTTCCTTTTTTTTTATTATTATTTTCATATTCAACACATACATGCATAACGCATATAAAAGTGAGAAACATACAATGGAAGACTGCACTTTTATTTATACGTCAAGCCCTTTTATAAAATATCGAATTTTTTATTCGCAGAAAATTTTATTCGCAGAGACAATTTTATTTGCACGAGACAAAAATATTAGAATATAATTTATTGGTAGTTTGAAAGAAAGTCAAGCAATAGGGGTTTGCAAAGTCAAGAACATGACATGCTTCACGATGTTATTTCAAAGTCGTAATGTTGAGAGCTAATGAGAGATGGCAAGCAACAGAGCAAGCACAAGAGAACATGTACAACAACTCCCAGACAATAGAATAATCTTTTCAAATAAATTTCTCAACTGTCTCGTAACTCAATTGAGTAGATCATGAAGAGGTATCTTATTAAATTTACGTGCAAATGTCGGAGAGAGTTATTTTTGTTGAATATCAAATTCGACGGAGTTTGGACAATCTCAGCTACTCTCTGCCTGTCAATACGAGTTTCGAGGTACATTTATTAGCACGGTGCTAACATTACGGAGAGGAGAATTTTTCAATCATTCACAGGTATTCCGTAGAACTCAATATTCTCGTATATCACTATTGACTGCTATTATTGATGTCTTTGAATGTAGGATTGACAGAATATTTGTTTCTGAACGTTTGGAGGCTTTGGAGTCTATAAAAATATTGAGATTCTTCTCGGGTGAATCCCTAAATCCTCTATGATCCATTAAATTTATAAAATGCATCGATTTTTACATTGAAAATTTGACATTTTCGTTTCAGTCGGAAATATTGGAAAACACTCGTATGAAGAGGTACTTCAACATGTTAATTTTATTTTCAAAACATGTGACCAACTCATAAATGAATCAAGTCAGAATATTTTCATATTTCAACATATTTTTATCCGGAATATGAAGGAGAACTGAGTGTGAATCTGCGTCAAAAAATCAGGACTTTAAAAATAGATGATATGTTTTTTAAATAATACAGCTCCTATAATTAACATAATGGAAATAAATCTCCTGAAAATAACCATTTAATTTAATTATGTTTGCCACATAATTTCACATATCCTTCGTAGATCAGGAGTAAGCTTCAAAAAATTATCAAAATAGCCTCTTGAGGATTGATATTGTCTCGGTTAAAAAAAAGTCAAACGCTATTTTCAGTCGTAAATTCAATTAATAAAAATTCAATAAGCTGCTCGAGTAAAAAAACATGAAAAAAGCATTAGGAACCGACGAATAAATGATCTTACCTCCGTGAATTGGGAATAAAGTTGAAATTTGTAGAAAGTGATCAAGGTAGGGTCTTGTCTGGCTACCTCGTATATGTCTTGTACATGTGATTAAATTGCTCAAGTCGTTGAGTTCAGTGAGAGATGTGTCACCGGATATTCGCGGTGTGAACGTCACGTTTTCGAAATTCAAATCGACATCGTCATAGGCACCATTAAACTCAATAGTGCGCCGTGCACCTGGGATACTCGGCTAAATACGATATCAATTTGATAATCGACATGATGAATTACATTTGCAATGTAAATATAATTAAATTTGATCATTCGTTAAATTTCCAAATGCAAATAGAATGAAAGGGGTAAATAGGGTCAATGAGGAGAGTAGAATATTCCGTGAATTAATTCTTTATTGAGATATGCACTCGTCGATTCGGCCAAAATATTTCTATTTGCCAATTGATATCATTACCGATATATTTCCATTATGAAATAATATGTTGACCGTTATTCTGCATTGGAGTGATTACAAGTGGAACTGGAGCGCTGCAGCATCTTTCTCTTTTCATAGCGACGGCATTTTATGGAAAATAAATTCAACCTTGTTACATATATGAGCAATTCCGTACATACATTTCACATACACCTCTAAGTTTCTACAACTAACCATTATTTTTTGATAATTCAATAATCATCCTCATTGTACATACAAATAATCCCATGAATAATACAAATTCATTCAATAAAATGGTAAATAAATATGATTATTGTCATGACGTAATCGGTGGAAAAGAGAAGCGAATAACACAATCGCTCGACAATTTGTGTTTTATAAACAACAGCGTAAAAATAATTTAATTCACTCGACAATGGCTCTTTTTTTTTTTCTTCCTCAGTGGCAGTGTTTGAAAGTTGATGCCCCCATTGAAATCACTCGTTCATCAATTATATTTTTCTATATTCTTCCACTCTGATTTGCAAGTGAATTAACAAACTCGTTCGTTCCATCGTTGATCGTTTTTTTAGTTATATAGTTATCATTTTGTTTTCATACTTTATACATTACACAACTCTACACATAAATATATTTGCATCATCTCTTGATATTTTTCATGTGTGCTCATCCCGTTACCATTTATTTCCGGTCGTATAAGAACGTCTGGTATATTTTTAAGTATTACAACGGAACAATTGACAGAGTGGAGAATTAATGAGATCAATGTTAACTGAACCAAATGAATTACCACGAAATAATTCAGTTATAAAAACATTCTGAACACGCACTCTTTAACTTCCTATACTCATGCTCCTCGAAAGATTTTTATTCGTATTATCGACGTGATACTGATGACGTTACATCCGCACATTCCCTCCCTGGATTATGGTCAATTAATAATTGTGCTGCGAGGCAACCCCAGTTGGGGTAAGAATAATAAAGTAAGTTACTCCTCATTACAACTTCTGCTCATACTGTTAATTAATTATCTGACTTGTGGGGAATTGTGTAGGTATAATCAACGGTAAACGTAATTGAGAGCCATAAAAAATTAAAAAAATGTATATAACGTCAAGTGCCACTCTCTAAATTTTGAACAGCAAATATATTTACATATGAAGCGTCATTGTGTGCGTGTGTGTACATCGGACGTTAATTACTCTCAGCGCAATAGTAATTTTCAATTTAAGCATTCTAACTTTACGTTATATGTGAGTATTTGGCTGAAGCGAATGAAATAATAGGAAAAAAAAAAATGTTGGGATTTTATATTTACAGATCTCGCGTAATCATCGAATGAGGAATGCTTTAATGGCCGGATGGTTTAATGATCGGATGTCCAATTAAAAGACTGAGGTATAAATAAAAATATAAGTTAACAGGAATTTCATCCCCATCGTGTGTGGAATAATTTTTCGCATTCTGCGCGTCGAATCGCGTCGAGTTTCGTCGCGTGTTTGAATAATATTATATTATGTACAGCCGTGACTAAGCATAAAAACAACAGAGTTTTCTTGTACGAGGTTGACACATCACACAAGATTGACGTCTACAGCCATTTTCATTTTTACCTAGATTCTCATCTTTTACGTGCCTCGTGGGTTCATCGGAAAACCCTTACCTCACAAAACAATATTCTATATGCAATTTTTTTTTTTGGCACTTTTTTTTCTTCTCAACAATCATTACTTGAACATCGTGTCAGTGTCCCACGTAATGTAACTTGGCTTTGTACACGAGAAAAATAGTCACCCACATTTCTCGAAGCTGGAATACGAGGGTGTAGTTGTTAATAGACTGGTTGGTACAACACTCTCGAGAGACTGTTGGTTGTGGCTTACGTGTAGACGATGGAGACGATTAGAAGGAAACACAGTGGCACGTACGATCTACCACTACTATCAACCATCCCTGATACAGAAGAGGCACCATCGACGCCCATTTCTGTCTGCTGGGTTGATCCACTTTCTCTCAGGGATCCCTGATAAACGCGATTCAACCTCTGCCCACTGCTTTCGCGTGACTCATTCGTATCCTCCTCATCGGACACTTCATTCGCCTTCCTTGAGTGCTCCGGAAGTCGCATGTCTTACAATGAAAATTGAATTTGTTTATCAGCAAAATTCTTCCATCACAAAAAAAAAACATTACAAAAAACAATTGTCTTTGCGTTTCTACTGCGATCGGAGGCTGATTAATGGTACATCATTTTCTCTCGAAATCATTTTTTCTCGAATTTTATCTCCCATTCGAAAAAATCACATGTCAATGTTAGTTCCGTTTGGGAGATTCAATTTATGTTGTAAGGGTCATCCCTCCGTTGGTGAAGGGGAGAAAAAGTTACGTTGAGGGGTAAAAAAAATTGGCACGATAATGGTTCGAGCATGCGGAACAGAGACACGCGATGGCAAGAACGAAATAGCAGTTTAGCACTGATAACACTTTGGCTGGACTTTTATCGATTATGTCTGGCAACAGATGGCTTACCCAATTCCTAGCGTTTTCAGGCTCAACTGCTTGTTTGATGGCGTCTGGCCTGATTCGATCACTGATAAACGATAACTAATACGCGGGATATTGTTTCTATTGCCAACTTTTCACCAAACTTTGCAAACGTGACCGCCTTCAATATTTTTAACTCTCTGTTTGATTTTTTTTTTCTCTCCTCGCGCTCAACGCCACATACTTGAGATCGAGTAGGACAAACGGTCCACGAGAAGCAGCCGCCTTTCCACATATCGAGGTCAAAATACTTTTGCAAAAGGTTAATCTAGCCGATATTATCAGGATTGCGTGACTTCAAAACCAAGTGGTGAGAGTGATCTTCACCTGTCCGGAATATCTCTTGGTGCACCAAATGGCTGTCTCATTTTTAATTTTTAATTTATTCTCATCAAATTTATAGAAGACTTACCATAGAGTCCAATGCTGCTATCTGCCTCACCAATAGAATTTTTTGATATACACTTGTATCCACCTAAATCATTTTTATGTAAATTCCGGATAATCAGGCGCATTTGTACACTGTAAACTGAGACTTTCTCCTCGGACATGGAGTATTTATGATTGCTTATTATCATCTCGCCCGATGCACGAGTCCAATAATTGATGGCTTTGGGGGATGCCTCGACGTTGCACACAAGAGTGACGTTAGTGCCGATTGGAGCACCTACCAGTTGATTTGGGGCTTGGATCATTGGATGAACTGGAATAATTAAAAAAAAAACAAAAATCATAATTCAGTGTCTGAGTCGAAAAGAAGTAATTGGACATATGTCAATATTTCCATGCATATTTCATTACCCCAGCACTAAAAATTAGAATCCTCAATTCAAATGCCCACAAAGGGCCCATTTCAAGAGAACCATAAATTCCCTTTTTATATTTGGTATTTACAAGTGCTCTCATGGCATTTATGTAATTGAAAAATTCGACATGTATAGGTATAGGTTTCAACCCACATTCAGATCGCTTGTTACCGAAAGGATGATAAAGGGGAGGGGGTTGGTATGGCAATCCCGTATTTTCCCGGAAATGCTATTCATCGAGAAACAAGGTCCACACCAGCACATTTATTGAAAAAAAAAAAAAACAGGAGAAATAAAAAAAAATGTTTATATGTTTGTTCTATCTATACGAATACGCTAGCAATTAAAAGTTTTCGGGGGACGGTTTGCGTAGTGGATTGTTAAGGCCGAAAACCGGCAATGCCAGCGGCTCGTAAATCAATCCTCCGCGCCCTTTAACCGAATTTCCTCCACAATGCATTGAGGTCTATCTGAGGGAGGGAATTTATCCAAAATTTTCGAATAATTTCAGGCGGGGGATTGGCTTTTTTTGTCAATTGATTTTTTTTTCGGGAAAATTCTGGAATTTTGGATGGGATCGCCTAATCTATTCGATACGAAAGCATCTGAAAATTTTCTTTGGATATTATCCGAATATTCTGAATGAAGAATTACTCGCCTCACAAATGACAAAGTTCTTCTCGCAACTTACTATTCGTAACCAATTAGAAATGTAAAGCCGCAGTGAGTGACGAAACGAGTAGTGAAATGAATCATGATAAATCACATTAATTGAAGAAGACGGAGAAATTCAGTTTGTGCCAGGGGTTTGGGACTAATATCCAGGCGTTGGGCGAATAGAAGGCGAGTTGATGCGATTGCGGTATGAAATAAGCCTGCAAAGCGAAACATCGGGTAGGTAATAGGTTTCCGGGTGGGTTCGTCGAGAGTATAGCATCCCTGCGGTTTCAGACCGAGATGAGTGGAAACGGTAGGAACGATCCGAGCAAGCTTTTCGGTTAAAGGGACAGGGACAATACGAGTGGAGGTAACTGAGAAAGTAAAAAGGACAGATAGATACAACCGGGGTGATAAGATAATGCCCGCGATCCTTCCCTGCATTACCACCTACTCCACGATATAGCCCAGACGTTTACACCTTTTTCTTACGGTATAAAGTTTTTTTCACTCTTCACTCTTTTATTTTTTCCCTCTCCTCATCTCCTTCTTCACTTTCCCCTCCGTCTACTTTCCACGCTTAAACATTCATACAACGCACCACATCGTCAAAACAATTGTCTCCCAGACACTCGTGAATATTTATCAACACGACGCCGTTCTACACAAAATTCTCTTATCTCACTCGGAAATTGTTTCAATTTTTTTATCTAATAATGCTATGATTGAGAGTATTAAAAAATGTAACCAACACTCGCCGTGACATTTGTCACATCTTCAACGAGAGAAAGGAAGTTGGGAAAATTCTGCACCAGTGCTGTACCATAGGGTAATTTTATTATTCCCCACTTCCATTATATGCGGTGCATTCGTTTTATCTCATAGCCACTACCATTACCAACACATTTAACGTCAATTTGAATTCTTATTCTCACTCTATTTTACTGAAATATATTTTTTTTTCTGGATTCCGCTAATCCATCCCTCTTTAATGTCACTTATTTGCAAATTCTTAGAAGCTATGAATGTGAAGAATTATGTAATATATAAGGTAATGGCGTTATGTAATGGGATGCACAGAGTTGTAATAGTAGATGTTTGGAGGCTCGGGGATTTGGGTTTACTTACAGTTGACGTGCAGCATCATCTGTTTGCTGACCGAGGGTGGTACGCCGTTGCTTGCTATGCACATGTAAGTTCCCATTTCACTTCTTGTGACCTTTGTCAAGACCAACGTTTCTCCCTCGACCGTTGTCTCTGCAAAATTTCAAGCGCATCGCTAATTCTCCTAACTGTTATTGAAAATCAACCAACAAACAAATGATTAAAATATTTAGGGATAGGTACTTACGTCTGGTCTTGGCACCGCCGTTTGCATCCCTCGCGATTATACCACCCCGATCTTCACGGCGCCATACTATATCGGGCTTTGGGTAGCCTCGTGCTTTGCATGTTAGTTTTGCCGAACTTCCTTCTGGCACCATCAGATCACCCGTTGTTTCTTCTGATATTATGTCTGGTGGTATCACTACTTCCAGGAAAGCACTCTGGACAGACATTGTAAAATGAAATTTATCCGGCTCCACCAATCGACAATATGTAACATTCAATTTCATTTACTCTGTATGCAATAAATTATTCAGAATCACATGGGCACCACAATGCACTTCTACATCAGATATTACATTTACCTGACTCTTCATCGGATCCGTATTGACTTGACACATGTACAATCCACGATCCGACCTATCTGCATTTTTAATATGCAATGTCCATGTATTGAAATCATTGTGGGTCACTGAAAGACGCCCATTATTCGTTATAACGTGTTCGTGGATCGCCAAAATTGCTTTTGTATCCGCTTTGATCCACGCCACCTGTCAAAATGTTAAAACAGAAATAGTATTATTCTCATTGTATTCCCTCGACAATGAAGGATTCGAAAAACAACGAAAAAAAAACCTAATGAATTAAATACATGAAAAATATAAAAATCATCAATTGAATTCAATAATTGCATTGTACTCTCCTCCACATCTCAAATTTTTTATTCATAACTTTAAATATCCACGATCTACTCAATTTATTCAATTCATTCTAATATATTTTTTTTGGAGGAGGAAACTGACTTTTTTCCAAAATCCATTTCATTCCGGCAACCAACGGTTGATTTTACATACATATATTTTTTTATTCCTGACTTCCGACGATTTGAAATTCTTGTAAATATAAAGTGGAGCCCGAGGTGGAGCCTTTTCTGCGTTCAACAATGATTAAAAAAAGAAAAGATATAAAAATAGAAAAATGAGTAAACCGCGTGCGGTTTGACATTGATAAAGCCGACTGCAAAGATTTCCGGAATTTTTAAACAATTTTTCAAAAAAGAATTTTTAACTGATGGAGAATTGGCAACGTATACGGTAGATTCTACAGCAGCCGTGGTAAAAAAAAAACGCCTGTCAGATATAATATCACTGGGCATGTACACATATATAGAAATATATAAGGACACACTGTGGGGCTATCTGAAAAGCTCTATTCTCGTTGGTCTTTCATATGCAAAACCAACTGGGTATATGTTGGCTATTGTGCAGCGCATGGCATCATAGAAGGAGGGGAATCAAGGCGCCTTCGGTCCAGTTCCACCACACCTCGTTTATTTTACCGCACCAACATTTTCCCCCCTTTTTATTTATACAATACATTTTTCGTCTATTTTTACAGGTGGAATTTGTTACTGCTTTGTTGGTTGATTTGGCATATACGTGTGCTCTTTTTCTACATTCCACCGGTCAGCCGCTCCTGGCGACAAGGCAACCCGCTACTCCTTTCAGGTATACCGGTGGTATGTAGATAAATGGATAAACTCGCTAATTAAAAGTTTTTAGGGGAGTCTGTCAACCCCTCAATGGGGCTTCCGACGCTCGTCGACTCCATAACGGTGTGGAGGTGGAAAAAAGTTTCAATTTTTGGAAATTAGAGAAAAGACAGGAGGGGCCATCGGGCCAGATCAATCCCTGTCTCCTTTTTTTTTTTTTAACAACAAGGGCTACTATTATGCACGGTGTGACAATAAATATCTTGGCATATTCTCCTGATATGAAAACGAATATTTAGTCCCATTGAAAAATTATTCTTCCAGAGTTGAGTAAAATTACTCTCATCATTGTTTTTTTGGGGGGAGGAGGAAAATGGGGGGAAATAGCATTTTGGAGAAACAAGGAAACGCACTTTTGTAGTGGTGGTTATCGAGGATTATCATGTAACACTCATGCTACTATTGTTGCTGTTGAACCGAGGATGAATAAATATATCCAATTGAATTCAAAACGAAATGTTTAAAAATGATAAAAAATCGATTTCTCCTTCAAGTTGAAGACTTGAATTTATTCGTTACTATTGCCGAATTACTATCAATTAGAAAAATGTTTTTACTATTTTTTTAATCTTTTCCACAACTATACAAACAATTTACATTGCGTATTATTTGTGCAGTCCGTGTTCTGTTTTTATTTGCAATGAATATACACATGCATTAATTATTTTTTACTCTCATTTCATGTATGTCGTAATAAAAATCTGAAAATCCTTATTATTGTGAAAATATGTAGGGATTAATCAATTATCTCTCATCAACCATGCCTCATGCATTATTCTGCCGATATAATTTTACTTTATTCCCTCCTATCTTGAACTCTCAGTCATGCATCACTGAATTAATTGTCCCATGCATCGCGAGTCTAGGCAACTGATAATGACGACGTGACGTGACGACGATATCAAAATGATAAACAAAAAATGGGAGACGGATAGTAAAAAGGAGAAAAGTGAAAAAATATGATGGGATTTAACTGTACATAGGAGGGGCTTTTTTACTTCTTCATTTCCTTCTCAGTGGATGAAAAAAAAATATTACATTCTAAAGTTTCACGTATGTGTGTCGGAGTGTCTTTTTTCAGGATAAAAATTTGGAAAGGGGTAGTGGCAAGGGGTGCACTGGGTAGGCACAGTTGCGTTACACCCTACGTGGAATACTTAAAAAGGTTTTCATCGATGCCAGGGATGGCAAAACGGGTCGCGTTCGTGACAGGTTTTTGAAGTAAAAAGAAAAAAAAAAACTTTTTTACCAACTGCTACAACGCGGGCTTTCTCTCTCCCTCTCTCGTAACTCCCCTGTAAAACTTTAAACTTCCTTGTGGTATACGTGCATATGTCACGACATTGTCACGTCACCTATGGCTATCAGAATAAAAATATATACTGATAGTGGTCTCCATTTTTGACAATTATTTTATTTTTTTCTTACCTTTCTCATTACTTAATATTGTTGTTTATATTTAAGTTGGAAACGAAAATTGATAAGTAGTAACAGGTTATTTTGGTCAGACAGGGAAATTGAAAGCGTATTTAATAATAGTCGTGATGATATTTACCCTGCAAAATAATTTATGAAAAAGGATGGAAAAAAAGAATGCGTATGGATATGAGTGAATGCACAGGCATTACAGGCAGGCATTATTATTAATAGTGTATTTCTCAAAGAATCCAAGTGCAGTATATTCAGACACGTGCGACGTGCGTACTGTGCCATTGATATGTGAATGACTTTGAGTACTCCATCATCATCCTCATATTAATAAATTTCTCACAAGTAATAAGTCTTTTCCAATGAAAACTCATCAGTTGGGTTATTCTCATGGTGAAAAGATGCATTGATGCAGTGCTGGTGTTTTAATAGGCAGGTGCAATAAATACTGGTGCAGTTTATGATGAGGCCATCAATACTGCAGGTGCAGCAGGCACTTGTACTTCAAGTGATGGATTAATTGACCATTTACTGAATTCTTCTGATTTTGCATTTATCTTTAGTTTGCATCGTCTCACGTGAATGGATAGTTACCCGGGTCTTGGCGGCATTGGGATCTCCACTCCCGTACGAGGAAGGACTCACCCGGTATCCACCTAGATTGTTCACCACGCATGTGAATGTTGCGTCTCGACCCTGTGGGATCGTAACGTTCTCCAGAGGATACAGGAAGTCTGGCTCCAAGCCCCTCACTGAAACCAAAATCCAATAGGTTCTATTTAAATTTTTCACCCGCAGGATGTTCGCAACGACAAATCCTCAAATGCATTTCCATTACCATTTCATTTAAATGCTGGCATTTGCCATCAACCACTGACGGAGAGGATATTCACGCCGTTTGTCACGGCAATGCTATCTGTATTATTACAATATGCGACAAGATACAGCCTCTCTCGAGCAATGTTACTCGTTTTACGAGCGTATTTACCAGGAAAGGGGTTATTTTATAGGCTACTTAATGCGGGGTCACGTTCTACCGTGGAGAACCTATGAATCAGAAGTGTCTACGGGATATTTTAGAGTTGAAAGGCTGAAGATGCTGTTGTGATGTGAGGTGGAATTATTTTTTTTTTTATGAAAATCGTATGTGGCTTCATCCAAATAACCAAGAAAATTTTTCCAACCAACTTATTTATTAAATTTCTCCTCAGATTAATCTCCCAAAAATCTAAAAACCAATAATAGCCCCTCAATGTAAAGTATTTTATGTGTTTTGTGTTTGTTAAGTGTCCAGTGGGAGCAATATCTCCCGCTCGGTGGGACGTTTGCTGTCTTGCTCGGTGCATCGAATTAGTGGTGAGTGCGACGGATGTTCATTAAAATTGCCCGTACGTCCGTTTCCTTTTCCTGAAACGTACACCACTGGGGGAGGTGAAAAAGGGAGAAGTGAAGGCCCGCCGGGGAATCAGACTCGACAGCCAGAATTTTCACGAAAAACAAACTCTCCACACGATCCCCTGCGGTGGCCGGACGCCTCGACGTTCAGACTCATTCAGACAATGGAATGAGATAGACCAACAGGGGGTTCATGTAATTCCAAAAGTACATAGTATATCGTGGCCACATGTTATATGATAGAGGGAGCAATGGGTAAATAGTGAAGATAAAAATTGGGGAGGAATGTGACGAGGGTGATCCATCGAGTGAACCATGCGTACGCGTGTTGTATTCAACGCGTAAAATTTCTTTTCCCTTATTTTCTCCTTTTTTCCCCTCACTCTCTCTCTTTTTTTCTTTGACGAGCGGTGCCAGGGGAAGTGTCCAAACACGATATGTAACACGTATTGCTCTGGTGAACTCGTTGATTAGGTGAAACCCACTTTTTCTCCCCTCATTTTTTTCTTCTTCTTGGTTTTTGTCAGTTCCCCCTTCCATCATCCAACTCCCCCAGGTGCTCTTCCTCCGCTCATCATCGCCGTTCTCTCTCAATTACATTTCCTCTCTTCGCTATCTTTCATCTTGCCAGAGTTCTCCAGCAACTGGCGTAAACGAGGCGAACTTTGTGTACGTGATTACATAATTTACGCATGTGGAAAGAAAAGTTTTTCCAAGGTAATTTTGGGTTATTATTATTTAACAGTGACTTGATAATAAGCCAGTATTTTATGAATTAGTGAGCATATCATTTTTTATAATAATAATAATAATAATAATAATACACTGAATTTATGGAGAATGGAGAAAATTATTGTCGATTGAGAGGAGGAAGTTTAATAAGCCTGGTGAGGTTTGGAGGCGATGGGTAAAATTTAATGTTCGATGACATTGCGGTAATAGGGGCAAGTGTGAAGGTGCCTTAGTAACAGGCATATCCACCACTTGGCAATACCCAGTGGGACATAGTACTTTGGTCCTTGAGACAGTTGGCGGCCGACGGTGGTCCCTGCTACCACTACCATCTTGGATCTTTGAAACTGGTGTATTTCTACGTGGTCTATCGTCTCCCACTCCACCTCTAATTTGACGTGAAACACGCGACTCCCCAGTCGTATCGCCCAACAGAGAGTTGGACGTATAGTATATCCGGCGGAAAGGGGCTGACTGAGGTGTTACTCACCCTTCCCTTATCCTCCTGTTTGTCGTCTTGGGAATTTCTTCGAACGTTTCAACTCGTAATACAGACGTATATCCTGACAAGAAAAAATAACCTACCTCTGGAATAAGGGGAGGATAAGGGGAGGATAAGGGGAGTAACAACGGAGAAAATCATAAAAAATAGAGTGATGATATTTCAAGTGATAAAGTAGAGAAAATTGTGAGCGTAAAAATGCCATTGTTCGATACAAATTTTACAACTTGTTTTACAACAGCTTCCATGTGTTGCTTGTATTCGGGGAAAAAAAAATTTATGAAAATTATTAAATGGTATTAATTGAATATATTCGACTTGTCGGGGATGATGATTAAAAAATGATGGCAATTCATTACATAAAAAACTAGAAGAAAAATATAAAAAATGGAGGGATGACTTAAAAAGGCAGTGTGGCCCGCGGTAATATAAAGTAAGGCGAAACAGTGGTGCATTATTCACCGCATGAATTATTGATGAGTCGGGTGTAAAATATGAACGACGCTGAGAAAGTCGTTATCAACGAGTAGCAGGAGGTCTACGTTCTATAAAATAGTCCTGGGGTTTTGGCTTGTATATAGATGATACATTAATGCAAGTGCTATCGTCAGTAGGCGATGTAATCAGTGTAACGATGTTAATGCGATAAGAAAATTTGGTAAACACGAGCTTGGACTATTTGTAACCACCTTGGTCCACTTGTACTTGCTGTAAATTAATTCAAATGACAAGTGCAGCTGTATCGCCGTATAAACATCAGGTACAGAAGTTGGACAATGATCCTAATTCTCTGTCTCTCTCTCGTTTGGCCAACCACCCGATGAACGTTGACTCGGGCAAATGTCATTTGGCCTGTCGGTGACAGTCCATGCCTTCGCCTCTATACTCGTACCGTCAAATCAAGACCAGTCAAATCCACCAGAACCAAGTACCATTTACGGGCAGCAAATTATTTCCCTGGCATTATCTTGGTTTGTCTTTTTTTTTTTTTTACCACAAATCCCCCCACAATTGAGCTGATAGTATGCATTGTATTTACCTATGGGTATTATGAGAATGACGAAAATGATGGAGAAGGCTAGGATGCATCGTCGGGGCATTGCACGGTGATCTGCTTGAGGTAGGTGAATTTTGAAGCTGATGCCTCGTTGTACACTGGATTTACTCGATGACACCTGTCGACCACCCCTGCCGGCTCACTCGTCCCGCAGTTCTTGTCGCGTGGCAGACCATTCCTAAAAAAAATACGTAAAGAAAAAAAACTTTCATAATGTACATGAATTTATCCCTTCATTACACTTCTCATCCCTCGATTAACCAAGGAAAATTATTATTTTTCAGCTTAGGTAGCTGCGCACTGTATAAATCTTTCTTTCTTTTGGAATTCTCCAAATTGATTGAGCTCAATATTCCCCTTGTTTTTATCTCTGAAGCTGGAAGCATCCGTATTCTCAATTTTATTCAGGACAAGACAGTATTTTCAGTGAACAATTTGAAGAAGAATGTCCTGGGCATTTTCCTATTTTCCTTAGATCGTTTGTCTTTTTGCTTGGACGATTGCACTCGGGATATCGCTGGAAGGAAACAGGAGTGGTGGTGCTGGTGGTGGTGGCAGAGGGGTAGAGGATGGATTGGGGCATCAAGCAAGATAACGTATAACCCCAGGATGCAAATTGCTTGGTAACCCCCGACGATTTTACTCTGTTGGGTGGAGTATATCCTGCTCTCTTTGACGGGGCCAGTTGCCTTTTCACTTGTATTCCAATCTATTTATATTGTTGAAAAATTATTAATCCGAAATTATCACTAGTAAAAAAAGATGAATTAAACGATTTCGGGACAAACAGTGTTAACAAATACCCCATGTATTTTTTTTCAGAAAAAAAAAATGTTTTTTCTTATGGTTCATTTCAATAACTGACGGGCATGAATATCTCGAATTTCTTCAGCGTTTCTCCCCATGAGGATGAAATTCAAATGCCAAGAATTTTATTGATAACGCAAATTCAGGTAGCACCCCGGATGTTGGATAAAAAATTCTCAACATTTTCACCTGAGAATTCGCCTGGCGATTAAATAAATAAAAAGATGTAGGAGATTGATTCGAATGAAAATGCAGAAAGCGTCGCAGTGGATCCTCAATCCGAGCGTCACGTAGCCATAACCACGTAATGCATAAGCCCGGGAATATCAAGGCTTTGAAGCTACTGTAGTGAAACATAAAGAGATACAGTACATGGAATTCCCGGGTAGAGTGTAGCCATCAGAGAATACGTATTTCCGTTGGATTCCGTGGGATAGAATACACGATGATAACACGTTTATACACGCGGTAATTATACGCTGGTCATCAATGGCCAAAACCCCTCAGAGTGCAGCACATAACCAGTCCAGCACGAGCAATGTTACTGACGCCTGATATCTATATACATATACAACTGCCTGCTCATCCCCTGTTCATCCCCTCATGACACCCCTGCACTTTCGTTGTTTAGCCGTGTGAACGTTTACCGTCAAGCGTGATTAATAACCTAGGGCCATTTCAACCTCCCTCAATGATCTCTCACCATACCCATCACCATTCATCTTTTTTTTTTTATACTCTCACCCACTATATTTTAACTTTCTATTCCAAATAAAATGATGGAGAACATCGGATAACTCTTCAATTCACCGATATTATCACTCGCACCGCTTGACGCCGGACCGTTCATGAAATTCCCAAATGAAATTTTCAAATGCATTCGCAAATTTTTTTATAATAATAATAGTATCGAGTGGAGATTTTTTTTTTTTAGGACAAAATTAATTTCGAGTATGGTCGAATTCGTCAGGAGAGCGTGCGAGGTGAAATGGACACTTCAGACATTTCCATGAATATGCAGAATGAGGGATAATTTAATCCATTAGGCCGAGTCTGAGCTCAAAAAGGAATTCAAGTGTATTCCTGGAGAGGAAAAGATATTTCATTTTATCAACAATTGAATCAGGTTTTCAAACGAAAAAAATACTCATAAAACTTTTGGTTATTGATATTATTAGCCAGCTCTGGTTGAACACATGTAATATCCAATATATTTGCACAAGGTCGGGGGAAAAATATGCGAGAGTCACTGACATGCATATATATATATATGTATATGAGGGATATCGCATATTCAACCTAGCATATATACACACATTGTTTCATATTCCGAAAAATATTCTATGAAATTTTTATCCAGGAAAATCATAGCCTGAATTCCATGAATTTCTAGCTGACTGTGCAGATAAGAGATTTGCAAAGAGAAGAAATAGTGAAGGGTCGTGTCGTATCGGTTATAGGGATAGTACCTAATGGTTCTTTTGGAGTCGTCGACGTTGTCATTGGCAGTAGCGTTGGCCACGAACCATCCCTCTCTCTTCTTCTCATTCTTCAGGAAGAGAGTGAGGGGGAGAGAGAGAAAAAAAAAGTGTGGATTCCCAGAGAGGCGTACCAACGTTGACGGAACGACACCGAAGAGACCTGTCGATATCGCCTCTCTGCGCGGGATGCAGAGCACAAGGGATCGAGAAAGGGGGCGGGAGAAAAGACACGAAAGGAGATGGAACCCCTGCATTTTTCTGTTTTTTTTTCTTTTTTTTTTTCTTTTTTTTTTTCACCTACTCCATTAACATCTCATTATGAACACTTGGCTGCTTCGCCTTGCCGTCTTTTCTCGTCGTCTTTGGCATCACGGAAACCCCTTCCCTGTCAGACCCCCCCAGACTTCTTCGACGCACCACCAAACATCCCAAAGTCCAAACTTCCATTAAAATATCTGGCGAGCGGAACTGCTTTTGCCCTGTAGGCACCCCCATCGTCATCCCGTTCCTTCCTTTCACCCTCTCGCCGTGCCACGTTCACTCGGCCCCACCCCTCACATCCTCAATTCATTTCCGATGCAGCTTGTGCCCCCACCCAGAGTACTAGTTAACGATTCACGGGGAGATCTGTTTTTTTTTCTTTTCAGATAGATACACCGACTTTTGAAGAATAAGTAATGGAGTAGTTAAATGAATTTAATCGCTGAAATTTTGGAGAAACGTACGGACACACTCTAAGCAAATTTATTTTATTCAAAATTTTTAATTGGAAACTAGAAATGAAAATAATCGAAATTCAGGGCTCGTGTCCTCGTTTTTCTCAATAAATACACACGAGTCTTGGCTAAATTGAAGATAAATAGGTACTCTCTTTATCTATTTATTAACTTTCCCCAACACTATTTTCCAGACTGCCTCGTCTATCCGTAAAGATGAGTACGAAACTTTGCAACTCAGAAAGGAGCTTACAGACTCCGATGAAACATGAAAGTAAAGCCTGTTTAACTCCGTTATATAAGATGCGTGAAAGCTATATAGCGTAGTTGAAGAATTGTCTCCAGCATTTTCACCGTATCTCGCAAAGTCGAAATATTGAATTCCACTCGAAGATTTACCAGATAAATATATAGAGAGGGTAAAACACACGGTGGATTTGTGGATGGGTTAGATTCCCTTAATTTTGAGACTTAATGTCTTGAAAATAAATCCATCCTTGGAAATTATAGCTTTTAGAGTAACCAGAAGAGTGAATCAACTCGAAATTTCATCAATTTCATTCACTATATTAATTAGCGTATCATTCCTTATTCGATTGATGCAGATCGAACTGAGTCGAATGAAAAGTTGGGTGTTATGGGGTTTTACTTTCATCGAGTTTCTTCTGGTACGTTAGTGCGGCAGGATATAAGTGAGTTTCAAGATGGCTAAGATATTAACGCGGAAGGCGAGGGGTGCACAAGATAATTGCAGAATTCCGGGTTCAACGGTAATTGGAGAACAATTTCTTGGCGAATACTCTCAGTCCATTTAACTTGTCCTTTGTATTCACTGTTCTGCACTCTGTAGTTTTTGGTATTCTTTACCCGGAGGGGGATTCAATCGACAACGGTAAGAATTTATGGATATAATTGTTTTGGTGGAGGAAAATTGGTGGATCAATTAATTGAAAATTCGTTTCAAGTTTCGAGATATTTTGAGAAAGAGGGAAAATAATTTTTCTCAAGTTGACAACGGTAGCCAAGGGATTTTTAGTGAGTGAGACAAATGAGGGTGGAAAGGGGTAGGGGGTTGGCTTTCACTAGCTCATTAAAAGTACGAGACCGGGGCAGAGTTACCAACTTATCTGGAAAGGTGGGGACCTGCAGGTTTTTTTTTTCACTTTTTTTTCCCTTTCTCGGGCCTTTGGCGCAGATCTGGGGTGCCTTAATGTTATGCAATTACTTGGGGCAGACGGAGATGAGAACAGAATTACGACAACATGAGGGGCAAGGAGCATGCGAATACCGACATCATGCATCCATAGGTCTCCAGCGTTCACCAAGAAAACCTGAAGATACTTTTGTTGGGGATGAAAAGTGTCACGTAACTTGTAAGTTAGGAAATTGAACCTGTATTATGTTCACGATAGAGAGTACGCCAAGAGACGAATCGTTTGCGAAAACAGACTCAACTTCTTTATGGATATAGGTAGGGAGGCGTTATATTCATATATTGCCAGGCGAGACACCCTTTTTTTCATCCCCAATATTTCAACGCTGGAAGATTCGTGACACGTCGAACGCTCGTCTGGAAAATTCACACGATGCCAACGGCAAATACGTGACGATCATCTAACGAGTAACTTATACTTTACACATTGAATGCCACTCGGAGCTCTCTCATTGAGTCTTCTATTTTTTATTTGGTAAATTTATCCACTTGCAGTCGAGTGGGCAATGCGTTTGGAAATCGAAATAGTCGTCTGCTGTTGCAGGGTTTTATGCCCTTAACCCTTTGGTGGGTGCATGAGCGAGATATTTTGCTATTTGAATTTTTCTTTCAATTCTATAGGTTTTATCTTATACGGAGTATTTACTCTTTTCATGGAGAATTGTCTGGAAGGTTGTGGGGAGTGTTCTTACACACAGTGATGTTGAAGAAAAATAATCATGTTGACTAGATCAAGACAAGTTGTACGATGAGACATAGCAGAGTCTCATGTGGAATAGGTACATTGCTTACTGGTAAGAGGGGAGACATCTCACCGAGTCGATTTCCGTTGGCGGAAATTCTTGACACCAATGGCAAAGGCTGTAGCCCCATTGCAACGATTCACTCACTCCCTCTCCACCTCCGGTTGTGAATCGGAAAACTGTCAGCCAACGTGAAAATTGACGTATTTTGTGATGTC